AAGTTCATACTGCATTAGTTGAACTAGTTAAGTTCACTGAGGATTCAATAAAAAAGCCAATAGTGAAACGCCATCAGTTATGAATGAAATAAGTGAAGCTTTTGGTGTAGAGCCAAATTTCAAAAAAGCCAGGCAGAGAAAGAAAAGAAGAATGTTTGAGTACAAAGGAGATTCTATGGCAGAATCCGTCAAGCAAATGTTTAAGTGGACTATTTTGTTGTTGTTGCAGAAGTTTGAACAAATAACTAATTACGATACTATGTTTGGATTTTTGTATCATACAAAAAAACTAAAAGTAGTAAAAGAAGATAAATTGTTTCAAAGGTGTAAAGACCTAGAATCGTTCCTAAGTTTTGAAGAAGAAAAGAATGTTTGTAGAAATGACATTTTTTCTGAACTTAACAGCTACAAGAATTTTGAGATTTATTCACCAGATTCAAAATCCATTTCCGAATGCATTTATAGCGTATAGAGTTTTACTGACTATACCTGCAACTGTGGCAAACGCAGAAGGAGTTTTTCACGCTTATTAAGAAATTTATTAAGACATAATTAAGTTCGTCTATGGATCAAGAAAGGCTTTCAATTGTGATATCTAAGTTCTCATCCTTTTGAAGCAACTTTAAAAAACCCTGGACAATTTTTTTTACAGTATTAATAACACTGTATTATTTTATTGTAAATATTTACCAGTGTTCTATTATAAAATTAATGTCTATTATTTTACAGAGTGAACACTTATTATATATCATCTACCTACCTATGAGCACTGTTCATATCGGTTGCTAAAAACATAATATGTGCAAATAAGATTATTATTTTGTAAAAATATGCTATAATAATTATTACTGATTATTCAATAATATCCAAAAAAGTAAAAATTTATTTGTTATTATAATTCATAGATTTCTTGTCAGACAAAAATAATTATTTAACTTACATTATTTGGCCTTTAATAACTTTAAAAATAAACCTTATTGTTATTATTCTAGATTATTTTATAAAGCAATAAGTCCTTTTTATAAACCTACACGAAAATAAGAACTCAAAACTATACCAACCCGAAATTTATGTTTTGTACTTATACAACCTCTTTTCAGATAATATGAGATTAAACTTTTTCTTTGTCAAAGCGCCTAAAATGATGACTTTCAAGAAAGCCTCGCAAAAATGTTTTGCTCTAGGCCTCGCATTTTCAAAGGATCTGGCTGCAAATAAGACAAAATTTCAAGAGCAAACTAAAATAGTTAGCAAACAAAATAAGAAAGTGAATTGATAAATGACAAGATGGCTGAGTTGGAAGACAGAAGTCGTAGAAATAATCTTAGGTTCGAGGGGATAGACGAATCGGAGGGAGAAACTTGGGAGAAATTGTGAGGAAAAAATTAAGTTATTACTTAAAGAAAAACTAGGTATTGATAGGGATATATAGATAGAAAGAGCTCATCGTACAGGGAACAAAGAAAACAAAGGCACGAAAAAAAAAAGGAAAAATCGCTGCAAAATTTCTCAACTTTAATGATCGCGAAAGCGTTTTGTCAAATTATAAAAAGATGAAGCTGTGGATGAAAGTTATTTATTTACAGAGAAAGAACGATAAACATTCGAAAACAGCAGTTTACACAAGCAAAAGAACTGCGACTATCAGGTAAATTTGCTAAAGTGGTATACAATAACCTAATCACAAAATCTTCCGAATAGATTTTTATATTGTCGTACATCATTTATTTCCAGAATTAGCTAAATTTAAAATGGGTACCGTTAATAATGTTTGCAAGAAGATTTTTAAAATAACTCAAACCTCCATCTTCCAGGTTTTGATCCAATAATTTTAGAACGAAGTTTAGAATGAACGAGGTGGAGGAGTGTTAAAAATAATCTTGTGTATAATATGATTCGCTAACTTGAAAAAGGGGACATGTCCTGCAAAAATTCACATAACATGTCACCTTTTTCAAGTTAGCGATTCATATTAGAAGCGAAATGTACGTTTCTGACAAAAACAGCGAGATTTTCACAATAGAACTTATCAATAAGCGTTCAAAAAATATGCTCATAATCTGTTGCTACAGGCCACCAATTGGAAGAACCGAAAACCATTGTAACTTTATACTAAAAAATATAATAATGAAAAGCGATCTTGAAAAGAAAAAACATTACTTGATAGGAGATTTTAACATAAACTCCTTCGAATATTCATAGTCATAAAATACATAGTCTGGCCGCTTTATCTTTTAGTTTATCTTATTGTAAGCTTTTTTAAGAACCCAACCTACCAATAAGTGCACCCTTTTTGTAAACAAATGCGCATTAAGGAAAATATTTACAAAAAGATTATTGATTTAGCCTTGATTTTTGCAAATGCCTCGTTTTAATTGTTGCATATTTGGCTTTGGAACTTCTTGAAGAAGTATAAATGTCTTTCTATTTGAAATATTTTCTTCCGATTATACTTATAACAAAGAATCAAGAAGAAAGGTTTTACAAATTATAAATAAAAATTATATTTTTAGTTACAATATATTATAACTGAAATAAGATATCAAATAACTTTTTTGTTGGATCGACAGGTTTACTACCTTCAATAAATCAACCAGTTAAGAGCTTTTCATTGACAAATTCTTCTTTAGGCAGAATATAGTAGTTTTTCATATTAGTAAAGCTCAACTCAAAAGAATCAACTTTTTCTTCTAAAGCAAATGAAAGTCAATATTTAAATATTTACATTAAAAAAAATCAATGTTTAATGCGAACTGCACAACGATCCCTTAGACACATGTGTCTAAGGGATCGTCCATAAATTACTTAACACAAAGTTTCAAAAAAAAACAAAACAAAAAAAGATCAAAAGTTTTCCTTCACAGAGTCTTAATTTAAATAAACAGTCAAAATAGGAAATTAAGTTAAATGAAATCGCCGCGTAAAAGAGCCTAATATCTTCTTAAAATTTTTTTTGCGTTGCCTAATTTATGGACCTAAATTATGGAAGAATATTACAAGATGATAATGATAAAGAGATTAAGTGTTTGTTAATTAAAAATTCAAAAACCTTGCTTATGATAGGAAGAAGACTAATGGGACGGTAGTTAGACGAATCAGATCGCTCTCCAGAATTTTTAAAAATAGGGATAACAGATGCTGCTTTGCTGCAGGCTGGAAAACAAGAATCTGATAAGCACTTGTTAAATAGTTTTTACAGGATAGACGACAGCTCCGGAGAACACTTCTGCAAGGCTATAACAGGTATGTTGTCCGGGCTGCAAGCTCTAGAAGAGTTTAAGCAGGAAATCACTTTAGATACAGAAGCTGGAGTGATACAGATGTCGAGCAGTGGATCAACCTGTTTGACGGCTATATCAGGTAGAACGCAACTAGTGGAATCCAGAGATGATGTTGATGAAAAGTTCTTGGCAAACAATTCAGCTTTGTCTTTAGGTGAGGTGACAAAGTCTGAACCATACAAAAGAGGTGGAATTACAGACTTGCCCTGATTATTGATACTATTAAAGGTTCTCCAGAAGCTACGGTAGCCTAATTTTTCTGATGAAATACGAGATTTCATGATCTGAGAATAGCGAGCTTTTGCGTTAGACAAAACCTTTTTACAATGGTTCCTAGCAGTAATAAACAGACGTCTGTTTTCTGGAGAATTGTTTTGCTGATAGATATGGAAGCACCTAAGGGTGAGTGTGGAGAAACTGAGCACTGACTAGGATTAGAAACAAGACATAAGTTGAGTAGAGAAGGTAAATGATTCGGGTTGTCTGGAAAGCGAGCTGGAAAATTGGCTATTTGAGTTAGGGATTGAGAATTGCAAAAGTTGTGGGTCTTAATGCCTGCGGAGTCACTGACACTAGAGACAAGCCATTCAGTGCGATGAACATTAAAGTCAAAGACAACAACAATATTGGCTGATGGATAAAAAATGAGGGCTTGGTCAATATAATCACAAATAACATCAAGAAGAGTGCAGTCTTGAGATGAAGGAGAGCAATATAGAACAAAGAGAAAGGTGATAGAGTGAAGTGGTGCTAAACGAAAGCACATAAAAGAGTAGTCTGTGGATTCAAACCTAGTTTCCCGACAAATGGGTGAATTATTACGAATGTAAATGCCTAGGCCAAGCATGTGACTATTGGAGTTTTTACGAATTAAAGGAAGATAACCATCAACACTAAAATCACAAAATGAGACAGAAGAAACAGAAGAACTCAAATTAGTCTCACAAAGAGCAAGTAGGTCTGGTGAACTCGAAACATAGATAGTATTCAGTACACTGTTTTGTAGCCCAAGTAATTGCCTCATTTCCACTAATAAACCCTAAGCCGTAACAAAGGGCTCCAATGTGGCCTTGGCAATGCACACCAAAAGTACAAACAGAGACACCATCCATGCGCAACATGGCACTGTTAATACTCTGATATTTTTCAGCTGTTGATGGAGTCAGCCTCTCTGAGAGCTACCACAGAGTTCGGGAAACCTGACTAACAGCCGGCCTCAGAACCATAAAACTGAGTTTTAGAGCTGTACCCTCATTTGGAGATAATAGAATGAGTTGCCTAGTCATAAAAACAGAAACACAAGCAAAACCTATGAATCGAGTCAAGAAAATCCAGCGTTCAACATCCTAAACTGGAACCAATGTATTAAAAATAATCTGCGCTAACCTGATAGACGGAAAAGGGGTGCGAGTTAAGTTAAATATACAATAATAAAATGCTACTCAAGTGCAATATAAATTTGAAAATGTAGTTTCGATACTAAATATTGCAAAAACTAAAAGTTCGAATAATCATGAATGTTTTGTATTTTTCACTTGCTATAGTAAGTCAATTTCTGATATGATATCATTTAGTCATATATAATATGTTTATTTACAAAGTTATCAAAAAAATATCAAATTTTTTTGGTAATACATTTTTTATTTATGTTATTTTTGTACTTTTTAACTTTATTATTAAAGAGGTTCAATAGTATCTATGTTTTGTGTTTAGAGTTGGTTTGTGTTGATTTATGATTAACAACAGAAAATACAATACTTCAACAAATTAGTTTTTTCAATTAAAAGTTATGAAAAATCTCCTATGAAATGGTTCATCTAAATCTAGTAAGTTTGCACTTAATCTGACAACATTATTTTGAATATTTTTGTTTCAGAAAGTTCAGGAAAGTTTTACTTTCACCAAGTTTTAATCTCAAACTATTAGTTTACAGAGTTTGATAAAATAAATAAAATAATTTCTGTATATCAGAAATATATAGAATTTGCAAAATATACAGGTTTTTCCTATTATTGATCTGGGCTTCTGTGAATGGATAAGTTCTATTATATATAATCACAAAATGTAGCTCTAAGACATCATGAAGTTAAACAATAAGTTTTGCTCCATGATAATTGAAATACGTTATGTTTGACTAAATATAACTATATATATATATATATATATATATATATATATATATATATATATATATATATATATATATATATATATATATATATATATATATATATATATATATATATATATATATATATATATATATATATATATATATATATATATATATATATATATATATATATATATATATATATATATATGTATATATATATATATTAATATAAGTACTCTACGCTAGTTTATAATTTTAAAGTTTTATTGTGAAAATAATTTAATGCAAAATTTATTGTGGTCAAAACTATAATTGTTTTAAATTTTTTTCAATATATTAAATTGTAACAAATAATTATTTTCAAGTAATAATATAATCTAAAATGATCATCGTTTTATTAGATACAATCTAAATGTTAGTGATATTGATCATTTTTGCATTTATTAAATTATATAAAAGATATTAAACCCTCACAAACCGATTTAAGGGTTTGATGTCAGGTTAACTTGAGTCAAGACTTTAAATTTTAAATGGTATCATAGTAGTCATGTTATATTATTGTTGTTTACAAGTCTATTTATGTCTTGCCTGATTAATAACATCAAACATTTACAGTAAAATAACATTGTTTTAGATTCCCTGCACGATGCCTGTTGAAATGAAAAACTGAAGAAACTTTAAAACTAGATAATGGCAACTGAAGAAGTTGAAACACCGTTATTCATGGTGTCATATCGAGGCTTCAGTCTCCAGTATTTATTTTTGTATTTTATTATATATGTTATGTTTATTTTTTATTTTTGTTATTTTTCTAACAACAAACTATGTGAATAACTAGTTTTCCTGCCCTGGGCCTCTACTTCAATCTGGCTATTGTTATAATACGTATATCGATTTTTATACTGTATTGAGTAAGCTTGTGGTTTGTACGTGTGTTTTTCTTTGCCTAGTGTTTGCTAGTTAAATGGAAGGTATGGCATGGTATGGCACACTGCATAAATATTTTTATCTATATTTTGTAAATATATATGCTATAAATTATTATATTATTCAAATGTTTATTTTTAATTTATAAAATTTGTATAAAAGTGGATGAAAGCACTAAAGAAGCGTAACGATAAACTTTAAAGCAGAATTTTGTTATGCGATTATGGTGGCGATATGAGAGAACTACTGTGGCAGAATATTACAATCGTAGAACAGTTTTGCATCA